AAGCCTCTTTGCCACCGTGGCAGCAATAAAAGAATACAGTAGGACCTTCCTATCCGCAGGATCTGTATCTGTAGATGGACCTTCCTATCCGCAGGATCTGTATCTGCAGATTTCACTTATCTGATCCCTGAAAATATTAAATTTTAAAAAACCAACAACCAGAAATAGACACACACACACATTTTTACCAGAACTGGCCACCAGAAGAAACCAGAGACCATGCTATGTATAAAGGTAAAGGTTCCCCTTGACATTTAGTCCAGTTGTGTTTGACTCTAGGGGGCGGTGCTCATCCCCGTTTCCAAGCCGTAGAGCCAGTGTTTTGTCTGTAGACAAGTTTCCGTGGCGCTGTAGAGCCAGCGTTTTGTCTGTAGACAAGTTTCCGTGGTCACAGAACGCCGTGACCTTCCCACCGAGGTGGTCCCTATTTATCTACTCACATTTTTACATGCTTTCAAACGGCTAGGTTGGCAGGAGCTGGGACAACGATGGGAGCTCACTCCATCACGTGGATTCAATCTCATGACGGCTGGTCTTCTGACCTTGCAGCACAGAGGCTTCTGTGGTTTAACCCTCAGCGCCACTATGTCCTATCATGCTATGTATAGGGTTCGCTATTTCTGCATTTTCCAGCATATGTGGGAGACCTGTGGATACTGCAGTCCTACATTACAGTCGTGCCCCGCTTTACGATTACCCCATTTAACGACGTATCAGCTTGACTGTGAGTTTTTTGCAATCGCTTTTGCGATCGCAAAACGATGGTCTGAATGGGGTTTTTCCGCATTGCGATGATCGGTTCCCTGCTTCGGGAACGGATTTTCGCTTTATGACGATCAAAAACAGCTGATTGCTGTGTTTCAAAATGGCTGCCGGCTGAAGAAAATGGCTCCCCACTGTGCTTAGGGACAGATTCTTCATTACACAGGCACCGAAAATGGCCACCTCTATGGAGGACCTTCGCTGGACAGTGAGTTTTCAGCCCATTGGAATGCACTGAAAGGTTTGCAATGCATTCAATGAGCTTTTTTATTTTCCTTTATGATGTTTTGCTCTACATCGATTTCGCTGGAATGAATTAACATCGTAAAGCGAGGCACCACTGTACATGCCTATGCAGACACTCTCCATAAACCCATAAAAGGCAACTTCCAATCATTTCCTCCATTCCTCTTCCAGCAATCTTTTGATCTATTCCCCCACCTCCGGCACAAATGAAATCCAAGTAGGTAGAAAATAATTTCTTATTGCCTTACTCCTCCCTTGGCCATCAATCTTTCCTCCCAAGCGTCCCACTGAATCTAGGTCCTGAGTCCCATTGGGTGGGGGCTTATCCATTTGCCAACAGTTCTATAAACAGCTTTGTACAGTGACAGCACTGGGTAACAACAACAGACTGCCCAGATTTCTCCCTGACTTCTGTCAAGTTCCAAAATGCAAGATCGACTGTCACTTGCTTGTTTTCAGGATTTGCTTCCCCTAGCATGATTAGCGGGACAAGAGGTTTCTTTGCTGTCCTCGTGAACAGAGAAGGCTTCAGACAACATGCAATTTGTACGATGTAATTGTTGCCGAGAGGATAAGCCCAGGAGGTTAGAACAGTTCACATAAAGTAGTCAAAACTCATTACCACCGCTGATTGTGTTGAGCAGGAAAATTATTTGGCTAACACAGAAGACATAGCTCTTTTTCCGAGGGTGAGATTTAGCTTTGTGGATGCTTTCTTTTAACAAATACATATATGGAACTTTAGAACACTGGGGCCCTTTTCTTGTTGTGGCTTGTTCAAATCACAGCACAGAGAACACAAGGAAGCCACAAAGTAGAGGAAGAAATTAAATACCATCAGAAGAAGATGTAGAAAGATCTGGTGCAACTTTTAGCAAGGTGGAGGGTAGAGGAACAATTCTAGGCTTCCTTAGGGACTGGGGCCAAGCAGCAAGGAAATATTTCACAACTGTTCCTGCACAGAGACGGGGATGCGGCAGAACCAGAAGACATGTCATTCCCAATGCATTGCAGAGAAGTGGAAACATGACCCAACTGGGTTCAACATCAGAATCAGGACTCTATTTCCAAAAAAAAGAGGCTGCAGTTCTACACAGAATATGGGAAGGTGCAGAAATCCGTTTCCTCAGCATTTTAGTCGTTAAATGGAAGTTTCTAGCTCAGAAAATACGCTTAAAGGCACGTAAGGTCTTGCTTGCCGAAACGTTGAAAGCCCAAAGGGTTGAGAAATGAAATTAAAGGTTCAGTATTATCCTGGGTAGAAAAACGTGCCTAAGCTGGAGCAAAATGTTTCATGCAAAACAGCAGAAAGAACAGAATAAATTATGCACCAATAGAGAGCATTGACACAGGATACAGCTTGCCTCCGTGCAGAATTTTCAGGCTTTGATGACGAAGTATGGATAAACACACTTCAAATCACAGCCTGGCTCAAAAAGAATGATGTATGTCTTGAAGGGCCTTGGGTAATTTAAGCCAACGTTCCCCCCCCCCAAAAAAAACAGCAGAAGCTGCCTAAAAGGAAGAGGTGCCTTCCACGGGGACCCTGACTCTCCTGTATAAGCAAGCAGAGCCTCCAGTGGCCAGCCAGACCCTCGGTGTTGAACCATTCCATGTCAAGATTCAGAGTTGGAGGCACCCCAGCAGAAAGAGCTGCTAGTTCGAACCGGGAAGAAGAGAGATGCCGTTTCCCCCAAGGAGGGCAAGTTCCAAAAGGGCAACGGACCCAGCTTGACCACAGCTGGAGAAATGGTCCAAAGACATTCCCGTGATCTGAATCTGTAAGAGAGAAAGCTCTTCTCCTGCTTTTACGAGCAGGCATTTGACCTGAGGCTGCCACGTCGTACTACCTTGTGGCAAGGGGGACAGGCAACAGCAAGGCCGTGGGAAAGACAGCCATGGCACACGGCAGCCGCTCTTCTCCAAGGAGAAGCTTCAACCCACTGATTACAAGAAGCAAGTCCCTCGGTTCCAGCTGCTCTCCCTTGGACTCGAGTGAAGAAAGCAAAGCCCACAGCCTTGAACCGTGAGAGGAGAGCAAGGGGTGGCCGAGCAAAGGGGAAGGTGGGAGAGAGACGGAGAGCCCAGGTTAGTTTAACAGTGACATTTTTGCGGGGCAGGGGCAAGAGAGAACGAGAACAGCACAAAACCAAACATACGTCCTTTGCTGCTTAGCCAAAGCCACCAGCAATTCCCAGCGGTTTCACATTTTCTATTGGGGGAGAGCTCAACGTTTCCCGAGTTTTGCCCACCTGACGGTTTCCAAGGCAGACTTTCGGGGTGGCCAACAACTTCTGGCATCAAACCCTGGAAATTTTAATTAAGGTCACTCTCTCTCTTTTTTTAAACAAGGCGAAAAATGTTAATGGGATCCAAAAAACCCACAACGCCCACTGGAACAGATTTTGCTGGACAGAACGCTTTCAAGGGTTGCTGGGCGTAGGCCAGCCGAAGTGGGACAGCAGTGAAGGCACAGAATCAAGGTGGCTTCTTTTTTTTGTTTTGTTTTGTTTTGTTTTGGTTCACTGGCGGCCAATAACTCACCCCCGCTTGGTGCCAGTGTTCGTCTGCAGAGGGATCCACTAACTAGCTTGGGAGCCCCTCTGAACTGGAAACCACTAGCAGTGAAACTCTAGGGATGGTAAAGAAGCAGAGAAACCGTTCACCAGAGAGTCCTTTCACTTTTTTGGGCCGAGGGCTAGGGGAGAGGGAAGGCAAGCCTGACGAGGCCCTGGCAACGGTTCCCAAAGAGCAGGGTCCACTTTGAAGTGCTCGACTAGCGAGTAAAGCGGCGGCTTCAAAGGTTTTAGTTTCTCCTATATTTTCTGTAACTGCAAAACAGGGGTGGGGGGGGAGGAGACAAAAGTGCGCAGCAAGGCAGAGCGGAAAGAAGGAAGCACCGTCCTCTTTTAACTCGTAGGGCATGGGAAGAGTAGAGGCATCTTCAACTGCCCGCTCCCTCGTGAGAAAGGCTGCCTCGAGGCGGATGGTGCAAATTTCGCTTGGGGTAGACCAGCGGGCCCCGTCTGTCCGTGAGACTTCTCATCCATGTGTGAAGGGAAGGCACTGAGAAAAATCAAATCAGAGCTTGGGAAAGCTTGGGGGACTACAGCTCCCATTATCCCCTGAGCCACTTGGACCAGAAGCCCTCAAGTAATTATTCTAGGATTTGTTCTGCTCTGCCATGCACATCATAGACTGAAGGGGTGAGCGATTCTACTTTTGGATGTGTGGTTAAGTCCATAAACTGATCAAAAGGCCTTCTAAATGACTGTATAGCAGGACCTCCGGATCCATGGGGGATTGGTTCAAAGCTCCCCCCCACTCCCGTGGATGCTGAAAAACCGAGGATTAGAACAAACACTACTTTAATAGCCGCCTAGAGTGGTCCGGTGGTCCAGACAGGCGGGGGTATAAATAAATAAATAAATAAATAAATAAATAAATAAATGAATAAATAAATAAATAAATAAATAAATAGTTATGTATAGCATGGTCTCTGGTTCCCTCTAGTGCCCAGTTCTGGTAACTTCACCTTTAGAAATCTATCCTAGGATTTTTTTCTTTTAATATTTTTAATATTTTCAGACCATGGATAAAGGAATCAGTGGATACTGATTCCGCGGATATGATGGTCTTACTGTACTATTTAACTTTGCCATCCTGGCTAAGCCCTGAAGGTCGTATTATGTTAAAAAAATGTTCTCCCCTGCCTTCCTCCTTACAGAAAGCGTTTCCATCAAAACGAGTCAAGGTGCCGATCCTGCTGGGCTGATGCAAGACTGCCCAAAGGAGAAAAACGTACTGAAAAGAAAGAGGCTTTCCAGTTGAGGTGCCTGATGGGATCCCGGCCACCCCAAGCTGGTTCTGCTGGGTTTTGCCGTGCTGAAAGTCAGCTGCAGCCGGCCGTCACAAGCAAGCTCATGCAGAGGTTAGTATCCCGGGCGGGGGGGTGCACTCCCATCACCACACACAGCGAGCCTTGGACTAACCTATTTGGAAGTGTCAGATGCAGATAGGTCTTCTGCCTTGGGCTTGAGGCTAAACCCGCAAGATAAGAAACAAACACAAAAGAAGTTCCTCTGTGAAATCAAGAGCACCATTTTGTGCACTCCTTGCAACCGGGTGGAATTTGGGCTGGGGGCCTTTTCACTCGAGGAGACGAAACCCTGCCAGGAAGCTCCCCCCGGCAGCCCTCTTGCACAGCAACCCTGCCTGAGCAATGGGAGGGGACCAGCATAAACTTCCCAAGGGGGCTGGTCTCCTTCTTAGAGGGGAAGGAGGTGGGGTGGGTGTGGGATGATTCAGGTCCTCAAATGCCCCCAGGGTGATGCCGGAGTCTTATCAGGAGCGGCTCTGCTGGGTTTGTACTCTTAAGGGCCTGGGAGGCATTTTCTGGTTGCCGGCGTAGATTTTCAAAAGACGCGGGAGCTGTTTTGAGGCTCCTCCCACGGGAAGCCGATAAAAAAGCGTTCAATGCGGAAGGCTGATGGGAGAAAACCCCAGTACGGGCAAACATCAGAACGTTATGTCAAACTGTGCCCGTTTTCAGCGGGGCCAACAATGCAGACGTTACTCGTGAGAAAGTGAATCTGCAAGCCTTTCTTATGATGCTAACTCACGGAAAGTGTTGACACACAAAGGTTTTGATCGATGGGGAGCAGACAACGGACTCGAAGGCCTTTTTCGGCAGCCTTTATCTGGTCACTGTGGAAAAGCGGGCGGTTGGACTAGCGGAGCCGCTGAGCTGGCTCGACATTTCTGCGTCTTGGATTTGGAAGAAGTTGGCGACCTCGGCGTCTCTTGGCTTAGTCGCCTGGCCTTCAATTTACAGAACCTGACCCTGCCAGAGGGATGTTCCATCGGTAGCATTACAACTGTGTTCAAAAAGGAGATGTTCACTGTTCTGTCCCTCTCCCTGCAACACTAAAAATGGATCCAGAACGTCTTTCATACACCTGCAGATGAGAAGATGGACCTTCTCCTTAAACTAAACAATAATAATCATGTGCTGTCAAGTCAATTCTGGCTTATGTCGACCCTTTCCAGGGTTCTCCAGGCAGAGAGTACTCAGAAGTGGTTTCCCCTTCCCTTCCTCTACGGGCGCTGTGGGACTGCGCTGCAGCTGGCCCAAGGCTACCTAGGCTGGCTCGTCTCCCAAGACGCACAAGTGGGGAATCGAACTCCCAACCTCTAGCTCCACAGCCAAGTACTTAAACCACCGAGCTATCCATTAAACTTCCTTCCCTTACACACATAGCACGCGCCGTACAAGAGGCCCCTTTGCTTCTGAAAACACAGATCAGTTCAACCCTCATCCCAGTAGATTTCTTTAAAGAGTCTACTGAGTAGGTTCTGGGATTTATGCACATCCCACGGGAATCCTAATGTACTGTGGATTGCCCGCAGGGTTTACGCGCCGTACAAGAGGCCCCTTTGCTTCTGAAAACACAGATCAGTTCAACCCTCATCCCAGTAGATTTCTTTAAAGAGTCTACTGAGTAGGTTCTGGGAATTATGCACATCCCACGAGAATCCTAATGTACTGTGGATTGCCCACAGGGTTAGATGAAATGTTAAACCTACATGTCTTGTATTTCTTGAAGCCACAGGAAATGTCACCGTCTTCCCTGAATGGGAAAACAGAATATATCTCCATTTAAGGATAGTGGCTCACAAGAAGCAAGCAAACCAAACCAAAGAGTATGGAACATTTTCCATCCAATGCATTACATGGATTGGGACAGATAACGTATTTCGAGGGCAAGGTCTCATTGTGATAATAGTGGGCCCTGCAATTTTCAGAGGTGAAAAAAAAAAGCAAACTTGCGGAGATTTGTTTAAAACTCTTTGGGTGACAACACCCCCAAATTCCAACCTCATAGGTGTTACTAGGCACAAATCCTGCCTTGTAAAAATAAGACCTAACCTGAAAATAAGCCCTATGTAGTATGAGTTTTCAGGATGCTCGTAATATAAGCCCCACTCCAAAAATAAGCCCTAGTTAAGTGAAACCCCACACCTCCACCACTGTGCAGCAACCAGAAGAAGAGGACAGGGCTGTATTTGAATAAATGTAGATTGTTGTACATGGAAAAAAAACTGAAAATAAGCCCTTTAGCATTTTTTGGAGAAAAAAACTAATATAAAACCCTGTCTTGTTTTGGGGAAAACATGGTAGAAAAACGTGAGTCTGGAGGATTAAAACATTTCATCCAAGTGGATGTGTGTTAAATGAACCAGGCCTACATACCGGGATACTGTATAACAAAATATAGTTTATGGATCTATAAGGTGGAAGCAATATAGGCTTGAAGGGCCCTCATGGCATATACATGATCTGCCCTGAGTCTGAGTTCTTGATAGAGGCAAAGTAAGACAGAATTAAAGTAAGTTTCAATTGTATTTAACAATCCCCATGTCTACTGGCTTCCTATGGGACTTAATTTAACGGAAGACTCATTATCTCCAGTTTAAAAGAGGGAATTCCATGCTGACAACATTCTGGGAGATTTGAGACAGCTGTCAAGCATAATCTAAAAATGAATCTAGTCCCAGCAAATGTTTTACAAGCGCCGCCTCATTCTGTAGGAAGCAGAGCTTCACGTAAACAAGGACAATTCTAAACAGGAGGTTAACCCAGCAGAGAAGTGACATATTATTGTTGGTTTTCCCACTGAACCAAGCACTCCCCAAAGGAAAATTAAAAAAGAATTGGAAGTTTGGAATAAACTTGCTTTTTGTCTCAATAAACTCAGATGAGGTCATTAATATGAGAGACAAGGCTTTGAAATAATGTCTAAATGGAGCCCGAGACGGAGAGGCAGATGTCTCTTGAGTTCTGACTCCTGGGAAACAAATGGAGAGGAATGAAGTTTCGTGAAGTTTGGGTTTCATGAAGTTTGAGGATCTTGTAGGCTTTGCAGGTGTATCTAGACAGCTCCTACAGGAAGCAAAGTATTTACGCAGAGCAGGGGAGAGGAGCTTCTAGCTCGCAAAAAAAAAAAAAAATTCTACATTTGGTCTGCAAAAGGACCAGTCATTACCCCTAAAGGTCCATACATAAGTGTGGAGATGATGACCCACCCATCCTAATACCACTCCTCTCCAAACCTGGAAGACTCGTGGCAATCTAGCTGCTCTCTTACATCTCTCAGATAATACCAAGATTTTTCCACTCACGTTTTTGATGGGGAAACACAACAAGAGGATGAAGAAATCCTATCAGTACCTCCAGTTTTAGAGCAGAGAGAACACTGGGACGTCGTCCTTACTCAACTCACGTTCCCCAAGGAGAAGACAAACAGAGTAGCAGGAAATCCTGCCCTAACTGGTGTTAAATGCAGGTTTTCCTCCCACATGGTTTGCATTTCCCAAAAGGGAACCAAATGTCTTCCGTAAGCACCTTTTTATGAAAAGAAAAATTCCATTCGACCTCTACTGGACACGGGTGGGGACTCCCTATAAGTGCCTCTGCTTCCCTTCATCCCCCCTGAATGCATTTTAAACAACTGATCAACAACACAGTGCATCAGAGAGCACTTCTAGTTTTAAAGAAGAAAGACGGTTTTGTAAGGAAGAGTGGTTTGGGACGAGCAAGACACCAGTGCAGTTGGGATACCTCACCCCCCACCCCAAGGTTCAAGAATGGTAGCCTTCGTCCTCAGGACCTGCAAAGGCCACCCGTTCTTGCTCCACTGGGAGCAGAACGCTAAAGGCGAGCAACTGCCTCCGAGGCCGGCAGGGAGAAAATGGACAGGAGGAGGCTGACCCGCTCTTGCCGATTAGAAGCCGGAGGAGTGAGCCACTGGGAGACGCGCTCCTTCGCTGTGGGGAAACGCATGGCGCTCGTTGCCTCTCCCCGAGGAGCGGAAAGGAGCAAAGGGCTGTCCAGAGATGTTCCAAAACATCAGAGGATGATGTAGGGCTTATGGGCAAGAACCCTGTTCCCCCAGTGAAACCACTAGGGCCACCCGTTTGATCCTGGGGCAATCCACCCTCCACCACAATGAGAGGCGAGAACAAATACCTGTGGGATTAAAATATTTTGGATTTGTGGTCCAGACAGTAATCTCTCCGCCTCTGTCCCAAGTCAGCGGAAGGAAGGAAGGAAGGAAGGAAGGAAAGTCCCCAAAACACTGGATGAAAAGGACCACTGCTGTGTTCCAGCAGACTCTTCGCTTCCGGGCACTGCTCCTTCAACAAGTGCCAAGGTTTTCCTTACTACAGCGTTTTGCATTACAAAACGATTAATAAAGGGTGACTCCATTCAAGTACTGCATACCTTTCTTCCATTTAAAACATAGAAAACAGCACAGCTGCTCCACGGATGGAACCCCAAGAGCATTGATGTGAAAAAAATACTTGCTAAATAAGTTGTTCTCATCTATTTATTAACGTGAACAGAGATGCCCTGATGAGGAATTTTCAACTCTTACAAAGTTCCCCACCTCCAGCATGAGAGTAAGACCCGAGGGCTCTTTTTTTTTTTCACGTCAAGGTCCCTGCAATAGGAGCATGACACATCCATGCAACACGCACATTCTTTCCCTTTTAAAAGCAAAGCGCACCACTGCAGCCACCGTGGAAGGACTCGGGGACTGTTCAAAAGGCATCAACCACCCATCCCTTGCTTCTAATTCTTAACAGATCAAGAGACAAGGCAGCAGCCATTTTAGCTAAGCACAATTTTGTACAATTTCCGGTGTGTGTCTGTGTGTTTAATATTCGTGCCAACGTGGAGAACTCTCATCTATGGCATCAAGTGTCCTTGAGGAAAAAGAAGGTTGCTTTGTCCTTGTCCTCAAATCAAGAACACCAAAAGGAAGGACCTACTTCCCTACTGAGGATATACGTTTAAGTGAGCAAGAGTTTAGCATCACCCACGCTCTGATGAGCAACTGACTTCCTACTTCACTTTTACTTCATCTTTTACTTCCTTCTTTCCAGCCCCATATATACAAGCGGCATCATTAGCCTTGAGAGAAGAAACCTATGGAGAGATAGGGTAGTGCTTTCCAAATACTTGAACAGTAGTCCTACAGAGAAGGGGCAGGATCTGTCCACTGATCCTCCCAGGGTGCAAGACATGTCACCATGGGCTCAAGCAACAGGAAGCCAGATTGAGGCTGAAGATCAGGAAAAAGCTTCTTAATTGTTAAGAGCAGTACGACAACAGAACCCATAACCTCGGGAGGTGGTGAGGGCTCAAACGCTGGAGGCCTTCAAGACAAGCACCTGGCAGATCTCTTTTGGTTTGCATTCCTGCCTTGAGCAAGGGGATGGGCTCAGTCGCCTTAAGAGGAACCTTCCAACTCCATCACTCTATGACTCTGTTTTGGGGACAGCCTGAAGTACCTCGGACAGCTCTTGTAACCTGCCGGCGAAAGACAAGACCGGCTGCCACCGGCCATGTGGAACCTGCAGAAGATCCCTCTTCTCCACTGCAGCATCTAAATCGAGGACGCCTACAGTGGCACAAGCCAATCCCACTTTAAGTTGTGCGGCTCCCCCATCACGGCAAAAGGACACACTACCTTCTTAATGGTGTTGTGCTTGCCATTTCCTCGGTCGTTGTTCTCGTTGTGCAGTATATCCATGGCCGTCTCCCTCTCCTTCAGCTTCAGAGCCTCGATTTCAGTCTTCAGCTCGTTCAGCTGCTCCTGGAGGTGCTTGCTTTTCTCCATGTACTCCACCCTGAGAACACACACGAGCGGGCACAGAAAGAAGCCCGCTGTTAGCCTCACAACCCACTGGTTTTTTATTTTAAATTTTTTGCAGATGATAGGCTTCTCACTGAATTATCCCTGAAGCACACTGCCCGGAGGATGAAGCCGATGACATTGCTTTGAACTCCACCCCAGCAAGCTTCGCAGAAACCAGGGTCTTTCCCCAACCCAGCACAGCTGACATGCT